AACTGTGCAAAGAGGTGCTGTTTGGTTGCATCCCCCACCCACATGCTACTACCAACTGGTAGATTCACAGGATCACAGTATGGTAGGGGTTGGAAGGGACCTTCAGAGATCATGTAGTCCAAACCCTCTGCCAAAGCATGTTCGCCTAGAGTAGGTTGTAAAGGAATGCATCCAGGTGGGTTTTGAATATCTCCAGAAAAGGAGACTCCACAACCTCTCTGGGCTGCCTGTTCCAGTGCTCCTTTACTGTGAGCAGGTAAATGCCGAGAGCTAACTTTTTTTTTTTTTTTTACATTTTTCAGGGTCAATGAGTAGATTCTGCCTTTCAGTTATTAAAGTGGATGACATTTTTGTGACTAGCTCATTGTGGAGTGTTATTTTGGGTTTTTTGTTAACCATAGTGCTAGTATTCTTGCTCTCTCCCTCCTTTCTCTCAAAACCTCAGTTGTTTCTGTAAGCTTACTTTACTGTGTGAAAACCAGTGGAGGCATTCTGCAAATTCTCAGCTGTTAAACTGCATATGGTTTTTCCAGAATGGGATATAGGTGTCTGGATTCACAGGCTGCTGATTTAGTAGTGGGGAACAGGAGGGGTTGCAAGAGGCCCCTACTTTGCATCCCTCTCTTCCTTTCCTCCCCTTCTATTTTTAAGTCATATATCTGTACATTATGTACAGGAGATCATATCGAAAACCCACGCCTGGCACAAAAGTCGTTCTGCTTTTGGAGAGGTGACTTTGTGCTGCCATTTAGCTCTGCACTAAGTGCTCTTATTCAGTGTGAAACATTTTCTGGAGATTTTCAAGGCACTGCCGTTCTTAGACATACTAATAGAGAGAAATTAGGATCTCTTGCAGTCAGATCGACCTTAAGTAGAATCAAGCTTATGAGACTTACGGAATGCTGTGTATGCTTGTACCTGATATCTTTTAATTGTATTGGGAAAAAAAATACATGAAGTTTCTGCTCTATTTCAGTGTGAAGATAAATAATGCAGTGAGTCATGTGCTTGGATATAGTGTGAGACAAGATTTATACAGAAACAAATAATTATCTTTTAGGGAAAAATACAGTACTTCTTAACAGTACCATAGAAACATAGTATTTACTCAGCAGCTTAAATGGACAACTTTTATAAAATGTGCATGGGCTTATTAGTGTTTTATTTTGAAGTACAAAAATTTCCCTGCTTTACTTAATATTTATAATTTTAAACTGAAATAGTCCTAAGTTTAGTCCTCTTAAATGGGAATTTTGTAACTGGTATTCTAAAAATGTTCTTGGAGAAGTTTAACGCAAACCAGTGTGTCCATTTATTTATGATAATTTGTATTGTTAGTGTAAAATTTTCATTGTCGCATTTATCATAATCTGTAATTAGTGTCATTCATATTCAGGATATTTGCAAGAAGAATAGATTATTTTAGCCCACATAAAATTCTCATGGTAATTGTGGTGCCCATTGCTGGTAGGAGTCGGTGTTTGTGGGCAGTCTCTTCAGTACTGTCAGTTACTGCGTAGCTGGAGTTTGGTGCAGGAACTTTTGTACGTACCCTTAGGTGGTCCGGTTGCTGATGAGGTGATGGAGCTCAGATGTGCCTGTGCGGGACAAGCTGCTGTCTGGGTGCATGCAGTGTGTGGTGGTGCCTGGCTTCTCTCCCCGTGGCTGGGGAACTCCTGGGTGCAGCCCTGGGCTGCGGTGAGAGCCAGGGCCAGCGAACGGCCCCGTCAGAGTCCTTGTCCTCGTTCCCTTTCTCACGGCGTGTGTTTCCACTTCTAGTGGATGTATGCTTAATATTTTAAGCATTTATAAGATCTTTGGATGAAATGTGTGCAAAGATAAATTATTGTCATAAAGGAGGAAACTTGGTGTTTTAAAATCAAGTGCTTTAATCTGCCACGAGAGTGCATAACTGTGTTGTTTTCTCCATCCTCATTTGTGCTTTTGCCTGCTTCTGTCTTGGTGTAACGTAGGTGCTGTTCTTGGGGAGTGCATTAAATTCAATGAAGCTTCTCATTTAACAGAAAGTATTTACATGCATTTGCAGGCAGATCAGCCCTTTATACTATGAGGTTTTCACTGAAAAAAATGCCTTCTCTCAGTATTGCTATCTTGCCCTAGCATATTATACTCTCGGTAGTAAACCAGGGTATAACATCCAATGTGGTACTGATTTTTCAGGCAGGTTACAGAAGTCTAGTCATGATCTTATTCTTGGATAAGCTGCCCTGTAATCTAGATGAGTCTTTCTCCCTTCATTTCCAGCCTGAACAAGAAATCTGCAAAAGTTCCTTGTCAGTAGTCTTCAGCAACTGTTACTTTGAATAATTTGTGGAAGATGCTTTGGAAAGTCAAGTTACCCTTTAGCGGAAGATGCTTTGACAAGTCAAGTTACCCTGTGCCTTTTTAGGAGATGATCTGGCACCATTAAAAGACAGTTGAGCTGTGAACGGCAATCTGGATGTCAAGAAACCATTGGCATTTGTCCAACCCTGTTTGTTACGTTTCAGGATTGATGGTTTGAGAATCCCTTATGTGATGTCAGTTGTCACGATCTGTGTTAAATTGCAAGAAACTGCTTTCAAAAGCAAGCCAGGAGACTGGGGTAACAGGAGGTGAAAATAGGAAGCCATTCAAGGTTTGTTCTAGGCAGACTACAAGAAGGTTTCTTGTGTGACTTTGCAAGCAGAGAGCTGGGGAGAAAGGGCAGGGACAGGACAGTGGTACGGTCCCTTTCTTTACTTAATAAAGGTAGGAACGTAAAGATAGTAAGAATTACCTTTGCAAGGGTTTTGTGCTGGTTTCAACCCCAGAAGTTTCAAAAAAGATGACAAAGTGCCAAGAATAAGCTCTGCACCAGCAGGAAGTGTCCTTAATAAATCAAAGAACAAATATTTCTGAGACATAGATAAATATGTTTATGGAAGGTAACCATGGATGATGGCAAATATACAACCATTTTTCACAGTGTCTCTAGGCAATTAGGAAGATATTTTGTCAATGGTGATAGGAGGAGGGGAGAGGGCAGAATCCTCCTTAAAATTGTAACGTACTGTGTTGCAGAGTACCAGGGGGAACTAACAGTGTTTTCTGTGTGGTTTTCATTACTTGGCAGGATCCACTATGACTAAATTTCAAAAGACTGCTTTTTTAAAAAGTTGCATTTATTTATATATGATACGGTTTGTTAGCCAAAAAACCAACCCCACCTTATCAAACCATGTATGGTCTTTATTTCTAAAATGTTTCTAACTGCTTGCTGAACATTACTGGAAAACTATGTAGCTGTGAAGGCAGTCACTTACTTGTCAGAGCTCAGAGTTCCCATGTTAATCAAAACAAGCGTGTGCAGAAAAGAGCTGACCCAGACTCCACCAGTGATCCTCTTCAGTCAGGATAACATCTGCACTCTATTTTCTTCCTTTATATAATTACATCTGTTAATGTTTTCTTAATATTTAGCATGCAGTGCGGAGTGTTCTGAAATTATGAATTAAATATGCTCTTTTAAGAGGAAGAAAGCCAAGTGGCAAATACAACAACCTAACTTTAACTTATTTAATATCTCTGGTTAACAGAACACTTGCCTAAAGCAAAGCAGAAGCACCTCTCAGGAGCTCTTCTTTCAGTGGGAATTTATTCAAATTATTTATTCAATTTAAGAACATTTTTTGCACTTGTACAGTTGGGTTGGACAAAAGTCACGGACAAAAGTCAGCACCAGATAATTTTTTGCTTAAGTTGCTAAATTTGAAAACAAATGACAAACAAACCAAAATAAATAAATGACTCTATTTTATGAAATTGAAATGTAATGGGAACCAGACTTGTATCCAACGAGCCTCCAGATACAGTCCGTGCTTGCTTTGAAACTGTAATCACTGTCTGGCTATGTGTGCGGGGCGCACAGGAGCATGTCTGGTGTGTGAGATAATGGGTTTGGATTTGCACCGTGGCAGAGCTCGGCCCCGCAGCCGGAGCCCTCCCCTCCGCTCAGGCCCACCTCCCCTCTCCCTGCCCCAGTCCAGAGCTGGGACTGATGGCACAGATTTTGCAAAGTCTGTCTGGGGCTTGGGGGGATGAGGTGGGTTTTGGGGGGAGGTGTGGAACAGCAATGTTGTCCAGCTATAAGACTGTTTCTAATCAGTTTTTAGTAATCAGGAAAATGTAAGCATTAGATATGTTTGGGTTTTAATTGGTTTGCTTTCTGAAAATCCTTTGCTTGTTAGTCTGTGAAAACTTACAGCTGTCAACTAAAATTTGGGCAAGAATTCTCTGTAATCGTTTCCGAAGAGGTTCTTCTGAGGGTACCCAAACTTAGATTTAGGCTCCTAAAATGTGACTGTCCTGAAGGTGAGGGTGAGGATTCCATTTCACTGGGTGAAATGGAATCAGACTGGCCAAGATCCCCAGCCCTGGTGAAGCGGAACAAGTCTGCTGACTACCGTCGACATGCCCATGCCCTGCTTTACAGCAGTAAACTAGGCTGTTACATTCCGGATACATCCTCGCTTGAAAGAGGGAGTAACTAATAGTGTAAGACTACTGGCTTATCATAGATTTGTCTAACAAGTCTTACAAATGTACACCAATTTCCTCTTTAAAACAAAGAACGCCTACACCAAGACCACTTGCTTCCTTTCCCCTCCCTTTTCTGTAGCTGTAATCCTGTTTACAGCAAGCACTTTCGAAACACTAAATGTGAGTTAGAAATGTACAAGCAGATGCTCAAAAGTGTTTGACTTTTTGCGCTTTCTTCTTTTGCATCTTTTATTAGATGCTTTTATGTCTGCATGAAGCACAGTTTATCCTCATGTATAAATTGATTGAACACCACATGCGAACAAAATTTAAACATCTATTGCGTTAAACAGATGACTTGAATATACTCTCGGTAGCGTAAGTCCAGTTGAATATCAAGTCGTACCAATAGAGTAAGTTAGAAACTGTGTGGAAGTCAATACAAAACCCTGTGTAAGACTTCTTCTTTTCTCTGCTAGTGTTTAATTATTGGAGGTGGCCCATGTGGCTTGCGGACTGCCATAGAACTTGCCTTCCTCGGCGCCAAAGTCGTTGTTGTGGAGAAGCGGGATACTTTTTCAAGAAACAATGTGTTGCATCTCTGGCCATTTACAATCCATGACCTCCGGGGACTGGGAGCAAAGAAATTTTATGGAAAATTCTGTGCAGGATCTATTGATCACATCAGTAAGTATCTGTGGGCATGGGCACTGTTCAGATAAGAGGTGTACGGAGGTCAAAAGATTAATGGAGACTTTCTTGATTTGGCAGAAAGCTCATCTGCTTTAAACACATGCGAGTGCGTGCACATACGCACACACATACACAGAGGTGGGGGGAAAAATGGTCTTATTTAAGCAAGATGGCAATTGAATAAATGATGGTCTTCTGGAGCAGCTTTTTTGTTAGCCTGGATTTGTTAATTGTTTTTTCGTATGAAGAATATTGATATTCATTCTAGTATGGTGAAGGTAGGCACAACCCTTAATCTAATGAGAAAATACGCAAAAGTGGGATATTTTACAGGGAAATACGCTGTAAAATTTTCTGTCCTAAAATGTTCAACATAATGGTTAATGATATTTAAAGTATCTGCTAAGAAGGAGAGCTCTAAAAAAGTATTCGAAGAAACTCACTGAAATGACTTTTATTACCTATGAGGTTGTGCTGCAATAGGAAAACGAGACAGAAGAGAACAGCGTCCTGCGGTGCTTGCTGCATTTGAATTCGTCACAGTATGGGAAATACTAATGCTCCATGCTTGTGTTAACAATGAATATGAGCTTGGTGGCATGCTGGTTGCAGCTGTGATTACTTAGGTATTAAATACATCTTTGTTATTTGCTATCTACAGGTATTCGACAACTTCAACTTATCCTCTTCAAAGTTGCACTTATACTAGGAGTTGAAATCCATGTGAATCTAGAATTCGTGAAAGTCCTGGAACCTCCTGAAGATCAGGAAAACCAAAGTATTTTTTATCATAATGTATTTCTGTTCACATAACTTCTTTTTAGGTCAGGTATTATGCTAAATCATTCAAGGCAGCTGAATTCTGTTTGAAGAAATGGGAGGCTTTTTGCACTTCTTACTCAGCTAGATTTCCTATATGAAGTTGTAGGCATGATAAGTATCATTGTGATAAAGCAGTGATAATTCTTAAAATACGACCCAGTCTGAGAAGTTGAGGTTTTGCACTATGCCTTCTGGCATGCGTTTGAGGCTTTGTAGGGAGTCTGGTGTGGCTTTTTGGTATCTTCTTGCAAAAACAATTTTTGATTGATAATATAAATATTGAAGATGGATTAAGCTCCCTGGGCCTCATTTTGCTTTCACATTTGATAAAACTCCCACTGGCATGCAAAGTCTTATCAGCCATCTTATGCAAGGTTTTTAAACAAAATAAAGGAAGATTTCTCATTCTTTTTTTCTATTTTTTTTAAGATTGGTATTTAGGGTGTAGTATGAATACAGTATTTTAAAATTTTACTTTAATTAAAATGGTATGCTATGTCTCTATAAATGGTCATATAGTGACCGTAGAATAAGTATATTGTTTCAAGTAGGTAAAGCATACCTAATTTTTTTAATATGGATGATACAAACATTTTCACATAATCAATTTAGTGTTAATGCAAAGATTAAATTGAGCTTTGTGAGTATGATTCTGTTTAATTTCTGTTTAGAAGACAATGAAAAGTATTGACAATGGAACGCTATGTTTCTTCTTTTAATACTCAGCCCTTCCTTGCTGTAACCGCCTGGATGTACAGTCCTGATAAAGTCACTCTGGGGCTAGTTCTGTGAGAATGAGGTGCTTAAGCATATTCTTGTGATATGGGTCTGAGAGGAAGTTTAGTGCATTAGGTGACCCAAATGAAGGCTTCCATTATTTATTTTTTTTATTGCCAGCTTACGAGTTTGACACCTTGCTAATACAGCCTGAACATAGCTTGGACTGGAGCAGAACCTCACTCCATCAGACCAAGGCAGAATTCAGCTCCCTATCAATGGGAAATGAACCATTTACCTTAATGCCCTTTCTTCAGACTTTGAAATCACTTCTCGGTTGTACTACTGAAGAATGATTAAGTATTATTCTTTGTGTTTTTAGAGATAGGTTGGAGGGCTGAATTTCTCCCCGTGGATCACCCTTTGTCAGAGTATGAATTTGATGTTATTATTGGTGCAGATGGCCGCAGAAACACATTAGAAGGTAGGTGAATGTGTGCTTTTTGCCTTATTAATGGTCTTTAGGGTATTTTGGAAGGCCTGAAAGTCAGAGGAGAACACAAAGCAACAGGCTACCATTCAATCCACTGAAGTCTGTGTGGAAACTACTTTTTATGTGGTATCTTCTGGTTTTGTTGTTAAGTTATAGCTCCAAATAAAGACATTTACTGTCATTACTAATTCTCAGCACTGTGTATCTGCACTGTCTACAAACTGCAACATGATGCCATTGGGCTTGCTTCAAAGTTAAGTAATTACACGATGATTTAACTTTAAGGAGGCTGATGAGATATGTGTCAGGAATTGCGTAGTCTTTGCTATTGTGCTGTAAATTTGCACTGTCTGTTTGAACGAACAACAAAATGTGACTGCCAGGTATTTAATGAAGGCATCAGAGGTATTGCTCTTTTATAGAGGTGATTTAACTTCAGAAGCAGTTACTTTGGAAACGATACCAAAAGATAATAAATAACGCTAAGGCTGGGGGGGAGAGAGGGGAAATGCTCTATGATTTTGAGTCACTGCTGAGAATTCAGACCACCTGAGCTGTTTGTTTTAGCAAGACACTACCTAAGCTGCTCCTGTATCACATGAACAAACCTGTTACTTAATTATATATTTCCCTTTTAGCTTTAATTATATCCATGTTAGATTGAGTTCACTAGATACACAATTTCCTTTTTTTATTAGCTTCATAGTTTGTCTGCTTATTTTATATCTGCCAACTACAATATACTTAGAGTTAATTCCTTATAATGCTCTATTAAAAATTTCCCCACGGTATTGTCCAGCTACTCCCATAAAAGACTTTTTATATAGTGAGGTATCAGCAAAATGACACTTTTCTTACCTCAGCTGCAGACTCTATTGAGAATCATAGAATGGTTTAGGTTGGAAGGGGCCTTAAAGACCATCGAGTTCCAACCCCCCTGCTATGGGCAGGGACACGTCCCACTAGACCAGGTTGCTCAAAGCTCTATCCAGACTGGTCTGGAACACTTCCAGGGATGGGGCCTCCTCAACTTTGCTGGGCAACCTGTTCCAGCGCCTCACCACCCTCATAGTGAAAAACTTCTTCCTAATATCTATTCTAAATCTCCCCTCTTCCAGTTTGAAGCCATTACCCCTCGTCCTATCACTACCCGCCCTTGTAAAAAGTCCATCTCCAGCTTCCTTGTAGGTGCCCTTCAGATACTGGAAGGGAATATAAGGTCTCCTCAGAGCTTTCTCTTCTCCAGGCTGAACAACCCCAACTCTCTCAGCCTGTCTTCATAGGAGAGGTGCTCCAGCCCTCTGATGATCTTTGTGGCCCTCCTCTGGACCCACTCCAACAGGGCCATGTCCTTCTTATGTTGAGGGCTTCAGAGCTGGACGCAATATTCCAGGTGTAGTCTCACGAGAGCGGAGAAGTTAATGGTTATCATAGTACCAGTATCTAAAGGAATGTTTGGTGCACTGAAGATTATTAACATACAGAAGCTGGTATTGTCATATTTAATCTTTCCCAATGAAATAATGAGAGCATATCAAGAAGCACAGAGACAAAAATTCATAGCCGATTTGTTTCTTCTTATAAAATACATGTATCCTCTGAGAAGTCATCTGTGGTTGCCTAAAAATACCCTAAGGACCCTTGGTCCTACTTCAGAATTTGCTTACGGATAAAGGGAATGTGCAGAGAGACTTTATCTTGAATGCAGTACAGCTCCAGTTTTGCAGCTGGAAGTGGGAAGAAAAGACTGACTCTTTGCATTCAGGGGAATTTTGGAGCAATGATGGAATCTGCTGATGGTGTTGTTTGAAGTGTAGGACTAAATGTAGGAAAGAGACCAAGCCTGCCTTGAGCTGACCCTCCCTGAAAGTCCAACGTGAAGTTTCCAGTGTTTTTAATTCTTTTCTTTGCTTATCAGGTTTCAGGAGGAAGGAGTTTCGTGGAAAGCTGGCTATAGCTATCACTGCCAATTTTATAAACAGAAATACAACTGCAGAAGCCAAGGTAGAAGAAATTAGTGGTGTTGCTTTCATCTTCAATCAGAAGTTCTTCCAGGACCTTAAAGAGGAAACGGGTGGGTGCATCCTCATTTTTTTCCACAACCAAATACAAGAGGCAGTAGTGGAACTCTTTATGTGCCAGGCCACCCTCCTATTCCTATTAACATCAATTTAAATATGTTGTATTAAAAAAAACAAGTGATAAAGTGCTGTTGATGTCAGAATTTTGCAGATGGAGGTGTCCATTTATGGTACAGTTGGATTTGTTTTTCTTTTAGCTTGGGCGTTGGCACATCATAGCTTGTTTTAATGTTTAAATTTTTGTCAACTGTAAAAATGTCTGCTATGTTGAACAAATTTAGAAGAGCACTTTTAGTGCCCAGAGATTTCCCTTAAGACATGGTTTGTTTTGTTTGTATCCGTTCACATACTGAACAGCTTAAATCCTGTGAAAAAGGCTCTGCCCTTCTGGGAGGAGTTTATTCTTGCTTTTTGATGTGTAGATCTGATAAACTGAAAAGAACTAGACAGGAATCTGCCATAAATACTTGAAAATATAAACTGTGAAATACATCTTTATGAAGAGGGGCTTCAGAATAGTTGCATCCACTGTCGGTACAAGCAATTCCATTCTTGATTTACAGCTTTTTTTTTTTTTTTTTTTAAATTATTATTATAATAGAAACCAAAACTCCTGGTTAGACCCAATGCCAGAGCCCTAGCAACCTAAAAAGCGCTTTGTTCTGTTGGCTCCCGTTTTCAACCTCAGAAGATTGTTAAGGCTGTAGATAACTGGCTGTTCCTTAAAAGGATGCTGAATAACTTTAAATCATGCTGAGACAAACTCTTGTGGGATAAAGCGGATCTCTTCTTTTATTTTGTTTTATAGCATCTTGTCCATTAGTGCTTCATCCCAGCTGAGAAAGTGAATGTATCCCAAGAAGGAAATGCACCTGTGGGGATTGATGACATGATGTAAATGACACTGGCAATGCACTGTCCTTGATAACAAATGTATTATCTCTTTTCAGGAATTGACCTGGAGAATATTGTTTACTATAAAGATAGCACTCATTATTTTGTGATGACAGCAAAAAAGCAGAGTCTTCTGGACAAAGGAGTGATTATTAATGTATGTAAAAATGCTGGCTAAACCCCTTTTTTATTTACTTGGCATAGAATAAGCGTGAACATCTGCATAAACGTTGTTGCATGTTACAGAGGGTGTTTATAGACTTACTAGATCACTTCATTAAAGCTCAGATCACTTAGATCTTACTCTGACTTTTTTTGTTGTTGTTTTGTTTCTCCCTCCAGTCAGCACAAGATTTCTGTAGAGAACTGAAAACAATGCTTCCTAAATTTGTCAGTTCTGAAACTGGCTGAAATAGGATCTCAACTTACCTTGGAAATACGTGGTGTGGTCATCACACCAGAAAATAAAAACCTAATTTATTTAAAGGTGAACTTAGCACAGATATGTCCAGTTTTATCAGGCAAATAAGGAAGCATTAAAACCTACCCCAGGCTAAATTGCAAATTCTCTACAGTGGGTGAAACATGACAGGAGGAGGCTATAAAACACAATGGCCTGAACTTTCAAAGGGGCTTGAGACTTTGAGGCCTTTTTTTCTTTTCTTTTTTTCTTCTTTTTTTTTCTTTTTCCTTCTTCTGTGAGATGTAGGGGCTTATTTTCTTTTGTTTTTAGAAAGTGTTTTGGCACCATTTAAATTTCTCTTCCTGGAAACCCAAGAGAGGTCAATTTTTCTTGCAAAGTAAGACAGTGCCAAAACAGTCGAGTATAATTTCCCTGAAGGAAGTACTCGTGGGGAGCTATCAGAAGGCTTCTTGGCTTTCTGATGGGTCTGCTTTGCTCTATGCCGCGTTTTCCTGCCCTTTTGGAGGACGGGGGCTCTCAGGGCAGAGCAGCTGGCCTTGCCTAGCTCGGGGGGTAGAGGGGAAGGGCAGCAGCCCCCAGCAGCGTAGGGGGGAGCACGAGGTGGGCTCTGGGGTTGAGGAGCTGGTGTTTGTAGGTCGGTGCAGTCCCAGCAGATCTGTGGGGAGTTTGGAGAAGAGGAACAGCAACTGTTGCCTGTCAGAGCTGTTCTCCTGACCTGCTCAGGTCTGAGGGGGGGGAACCCAATCTGTCTAAAACAACTGGGCTAATAGCGGTTCTGTGGAATCATCCCTGCGATTAGGGGTCTCATCCACGATTAAGCTGTAAATAGAAACTGCCTTATTAATAATCACTGTCTTTAAGTAGGATGACCTGTAAAGGCATGGTCCTTCATGACACTGGCAAAAAAACCCCAAAACAAAACACCCAGCCCAAAACAACAACAGAAAAGCTTGTATGGTCCAAGTTTGAATGTGTTGTTACTGAGATGCAAAGTCAAACCTTTGGGCTGAGACCAACATGCTATGTCATCAGTACATTAGTATTTCTGCTCTCGTGTGGTTTCACGTGGGGTTCACACATACAAAAAAGCATTGTAGTGGTAATGATAACATCTTTTGATGGGAGGGAAATAATGTTATTTAAAAAATTAATGTGTAACTGAGGAACTGGGAGGCACTATAATCTTATTGCAAATAAAGCTGCTTATTCAGTGTTGGTATAGAGAGTTGCTGTTTGGGGCAGTACAGTAACCTGTGTTTGTGTGCTAACTTTTTTGGAGGAGATGACAAATCTCGCTTGGTTCTTTTTGCTGTGAGATGTGTGGTTGCCAGTGTGGTGCTCTGAGACTTCAACGCTCTGATCCAGAGAGGGGGGTTGGAGTATCTAATCCTATGCGCTTTTCTCCTTGCAGGACTATATTGACACTGAGTTGCTCCTCTGTGGGGAAAATGTGAACCAGAGCAATTTGCTGTCCTATGCCAGAGAAGCTGCTGACTTTGCAACCAATTACCAGCTGCCTTCCTTGGATTTTGCAATTAATCACTATGGGCAACCAGATGTAGCAATGTTTGATTTTACTTCCATGTACGCATCTGAAAACGCTGCACTAGTGAGAGAGAGGCACAGACATCAGCTCCTCGTGGCGCTTGTTGGAGACAGTTTGCTTGAGGTATATCTTGGAATGTCTTCCAAGTAGTTGTTTTTGCCTCCCCTGTGTCCCCCCTTTAATCCAGCCATTCAATCTACCCTACAAAACAAACCATCTTCTCTTACGTGTCCTGAAACAATGGTACCTTCTTTGGAATAGAATTATTTTTTTTCTCTTTTATGCCATAGTTTATATCATAACTAATGCTTGGCTGGCAGTCTCTGGCTGAGATCCTGTTTTGCTTTATGCAAGTTGTATTTCTGTCTGAAAACTGAGAGCTGTGTGTCCTCAGCTTGGGTGCATGGCATAATTTTCCTGACTTCCATCACTGAGAAAAACTTGGTCACAATTTTTATTGCAGCTTTTTTGCCTTAATATGTTCTCTTTCTGAAGTGAAAAGTGTATGTTGCAACTAATATTTTTTTTTAACTCATGCTGACAGCCTTGAAGTGTTTGAAAAGATCAGTGCAAAGGAAAATTAGGAGATGAGAAGGCATATTTTTTCCCTTTTTTCCTTGACTAATTCCTGAGTATTGAGTTGTTGGGGTTTTTTTTCCCCCGCCGCCTTTACCTTTTGAGGTTAAGAAATTTGTTTTTAAATACAGAAGTTTAAAAAACTTTTTTAAAAGTTTTTTTAAAAGCAGTCTTTTTCAGTAGCTAAGGCTTGCAGGAAAGAAACATCTAAAAACTCCAAGAGTTAGCTATGGTGTATTTTAACGCTTTCTGGGCTACTTTTCTAAGACAATATGAAACCCTGGACTCCAGATTCACATTGCAGGTTACTTTTGTAATAAGAACTTAATAAATACAGGGAATTAAAATGTAAATGCTTCTTACAGCCCTTCTGGCCAATGGGTACTGGCTGTGCAAGAGGTTTCTTAGCTGCTTTTGATACTGCATGGATGGTGCGGAGCTGGGCTCAAGGAAAACCCCCGTTAGAAATTCTTGCTGAACGGTGAGTGCTGCTTTTGTCTTCTCCATCATTTCCAGTGTTTCAAAGAGTTGCAGTATTGGTAGAAGGCAGTGGAATTCAGAATGCCAACAGGAGAAATATTCTCCTTCACTGCAATGGCATTGGGTTGAAATTATCCATTCTTTAGGTTACCAAACAATTGACAGTAGTAGTAGACCGTTGCTCTGTAAGCTTCCACACACTAATACAGAGATCCAGCAGTGTGCGTGACATTGGTTTAAATCTCTAATTTACATCACTAATGACTAGAATTAAGTGTGATCCTTAAGGAAATAAACTAAAAATACCTTGTATCCAAAGACTAACCCTCCAACCATTTCAGCACCTCATTTTTTTTTTTAGTTAAAATAAAATTCCTGAAACAAGTGTAAAGAAATACTTTAACAGTTTCATAGTCAGTACTTGTGATTTTAACTCTGCATTTTCACTTAGTAGCCCTGATGCCCTCTTTATTTAGACTGATAAATGTGTGGCAAAGGAGAAATGCTATAATGCTGCATCACAAGCTTCTCTATATTATGTCTTTTTGACCAGAGCAAAAAAGATCTGTTGTTAAGTACATCAGCAGTCCTGGTGTTGCTGTGGTCTGATGGTTGAAGTTGCTGACTTTGGTCCTGATGGCAACTGCCCTGCTCTGCTACAGCTGCCCAGGCGCTTTCGGGGCAGATGCATAATAGAAATAGTCATGGTTGTGGTGATGCAAGTAGAAACATTACTAAGTACAGTGCTTTGAGAAAAAGTTTTAAGATAGAAGCCTGTGGGATGACTCAAACACGGCATAGTCCCAAATGGAAAATTGAACAGCATAATAAAAAAGGCTGTGGTGGTTATAGGAATTGCAGAATGACGGGATTTAGTGCTGTTATGTGGTAAAGAAGTTACTCTTTGGGTGGAGGTTAAAGCAAAACCAGATGATTGAATGATGTAACCTCCTTTTTTTTTTTTTCTTTCTTCTTTTTCTTGCTCGTTTCCTGCCTCAGGAAAGTATGGGCATGAGTTCTAAGAGTCTTGTCTTTTTGTTGTCCTTTTTCTGTCTGGCATCCTTCTTCCACTGGGCAGGGATAAGAAACGGGATGGATGCATTATGTATTTAGTGCATAACACTTGTCCCGGCAGAATCAAAATAAGGTGCAGGTAGCTGCAAAAAAAAAAAAAAAACCAAACACAAAACTCTTTATATAATAAATATTTATTTTAATCGGTATGTCTTGCATCTTTTTTCTCTATAAGAGAGAGCATTTATCGACTCTTGCCTCAGACTACCCCTGAAAATATTAACAAGAACTTTGACCAGTATACCATTGACCCAGGAACAAGATACCCGAACTTGAACTCAAGCTGTGTTCGACCTCACCAGGTCAGTACATAAAAGGCTGGCTTGTGAAATCAGTTCATTTTTTTTTGTCCAGGAGAAATAGGGCTGCAGGTAATGCATAAACAAAATCTTCAGCAGACTCCTTAATTTAGAACCAGCTGTTGATAAAGTTAACCTAGAAAGAAACGTTGTGTTGGTTTTTTTCTCTCCAAGCAATTCTAACATTACGCTGCTAATCGCTTTGACTTGTAGGTGAGACAATTATATGTTACCAATGAGTTACAACAGTGTCCTCTTGAAAGAGTAAGCTCCATTAGAAGATCAGTGAATCTCTCAAGACATGGTATGTGACATCTTGTGTTTGCTGTGGTTTAATATTTGGAGCCTTGTAAGCATACAAAAACTGATCAAAATGATGGCTCTTCACTGTAACTGCAGAGTCAGATATTCGACCTAACAAGCTTTTGACCTGGTGTCAGAAACAGACAGAAGGGTACCGTAATGTTAACGTCACAGACCTGACTACCTCCTGGAAAAGTGGCCTTGCATTGTGTGCAATTATCCATCGCTTCAGACCTGACCTCATGTAAGTGACATCTGAAGATTTTATTGAGTGTAGGATATATTAAGCATTTACCAAAGTATAGTGTAAGACCAACCAGAACAACACTGGTGCTCTACAGTCCCCTACTATTGCTGGTTTTTGTAAAGAGGTGCAGACTATTGCTGGGTTCAAGGGATGGAGAGGGTGGGGTTGTTTCTTGCTTTGTTTTTTCTTTATGTCCCTGCATACTATTTAAAACAAAGTTTATATGGTTTCAAAGACCTAGCAAGGCTTTGAACCTTATGACTTATGATCATGTTTGTGGGAGTCACATAGCTATTTAAAACAAAAATTGCAGTGCTTGGAGAATGTGAGAGTTGCATTCTCAGGTCCCTGGAGACAGATTTTTAGTGCATGTTTGAAACCATAGCCATAATGGCATTGTCATGAGTTAGAGAAGTACCTGGATGAGCCTTAAATTGAGCTGTCCTCAGTGTGTTTTCATTGTCCATGTAGGGGAACGTTGGGCCATGGAGGTGCACAGAAGACGGTGGTTTTGCACAACTCTGTCCAGAAGAGCGCAGTGCCCTTGCGTGTGGGTTGTGCGGCAAGGGCTGGCCCTTGAAAATTAACTGCTTTAGGGATTGAATATAAGTCAGCATTCCCCTTTTGACAGTGTTTCTGGGATCCTAGCCCTACAAGACCCGACGTCTTGTCTGTGAACATTTTGTAAGGTTCCTCGGTTAGATACGAGAGGGTGGGTGTGAAACAGGTGTCAGGAAATGGCAATTGCTGGCACTGGGTTACTGGGCCTGCTTCGTGCAGTCTGGGGTGGGTTGGCTCTTCTCTCCTCTCACCAGCCTCCAAAACGCAGAGGATGTTTTCTCTTGCCTTCCTACACGGACTTAGGGGTAATGAATTAATTACTGTCAGCCTCCCTTTATCATCGATAAATGAAAGAAATGATTGAGCTCTTTTATGAGGTGTGATAAATTGTAAAAAATAGGAGCAATACCCAGGGTGCTTGTTTGTACAGCTTTGCCAGAGGAACAGCTAATGCTGTAAGAATAAGATATTTTTTTTATTTCTTTTTTTTGCCTTGGGTTAGTTTAAAAAAAAAATGGGACTTGCGGATGGTTTTGTGGATATAAGTGGGGGAGAGAGAGTGTAGAAAGCACAGTAATCTTTGCTGTCTGTGGAAAGCATATCTCTTAAGCACTGCTTTCTCTAGAGAGTTGATGGATTTATTTTCCTGAGCTAACAGACCTCCTGCTGTTTAATTAACATTGTGTTCGGATCTTTTTGGCTCTTTGTATTAAATGGGAGTGCTGAAGGACCCGGCCAGAGGACAGCTGGGCAGGCAGGAGAGGCAGCTGCCTGTGGGCAGGGCTGGGGCAGAGGGCGGCCAGCAGCCCCCTGGCTCCAGAAATAGGCAGAGTGTGGGCAGGGAGGCAGAGAGAGGAATTCTTTGGGGGTTCAAAACCTCACATTCCTTATGAGGAGAAGGAAACTACCCTGCCTGGAGCTTTGTAATTTATTCACATGTTTATTTTAATCATGAATTTTGGAAGCTGTTCAAGGGATCAGAGTCTTAGAATAGGTCCCATAGAAAATGGATTAGAGAATGGATAATGGAGTTCCAGATGTGTGATGTACTTCAGTGCATTGCTAAATCCAGTTATGACATGGGCAGGAGGTCCTCATTCACGCTGTGTCTGTAACGCCTTAAAAAGAAAGGTGGTGCCTGTGCACGTGTGTGTGCACACACACAACATGTTTGTTTCATAAACTGTTAGCCTAAATTTACTACTCCTGGCTTTGATTTATAGAACTAATTGAAACTAAAAAGTCAATTGCTAACAGGTGAAATCTGTAGTGCCGTAGCTGTGTTTGGATACAAAAAAGCTTTCTTAGCACTTCAGAGGAGGAATTGCCTTTCTTCATAAATAAGGGAATCCTTTTTCATGGGGCTACATCAATATCCAGTCCAGTGAAATTGCTTTTAAATGACGTTTCTGGCAAAGCCAGGGTTAGTAATAACGGGGTTTGTATGAGACTTACCTTTGGTGTTGTGTAGACTCTGTAGCTTTGACCCAGTGAAATGCCTCTGTGCTTATTCATGGGGCTGGTCTGCACCTCTCCAAGGGGCAAGGGAGCACTGCGTATTTCCGAGGGGAGCAGAGAGCAAACTGCCACTGATGCCAGTGTGTTGTCCCTGCAGTGACTTTGATGCCCTGAACGAAGAGGACGTTGTCAAAAACAACCAGCTGGCATTTGATGTTGCTGAGCAGGAGTTTGGGATCCCCCCTGTGACCACGGGGAAGGAGGTGGGGTCGGCCGGGGAGCCCGACAAGCTCAGCATGGTCATGTACCTCTCCAAGTTTTACGAACTGTTCAGGGGCACACCTCTGCGGGCAGTAGGTAAGCCGAACCCGGGCTGCTCCTAATTCTTGCAAGTTTGGGGAACAGAAGCACTTCATCCAGGCTGCTTACAAGGACTGCTCTTGAGCCAAGAGTCCTTTCCCAGCTGAGCTGTTCTGGCATGTGAGTGTGCCTGCTTCTGTCTGCAATAGTTACCTTATGCTTAAAAAAGGAAAGGGGGAAAACCTTGATTGAAGACCAAAGTTTTGTGGGTCCTTGGTGGTTTCTGAGAACAGGAGCGGCTGGATAACTGCTGCTTGACATCATGAAGTTCATGTATCAAGTCGTTAGAGTGATTCTCTGGTAAGGATGACTGCATACAGCATGTCCATTCCTGGGTGTTCCTCTTCCTTTTTTAAAGCCACCCTACATTGTATGTATTTACTTTTATTTGCCTGGGTTTATTATGTATAATTGCGACTAGTACTCAACTGGAAAGTTTTGGCTTAGTCCATGTATTTTAAAAAGAAATCTGAATAAATATCCTAAGCAGTTGTTTTTTAAACAGATGCTGGCGACAAGCAAAATGGAGAAAATAATGATCTTTGTTCAGCAAAATCATCAAACTTCATCTTTAATAATTATATCAATTTAACTTTACCAAGAAAACGAGTACCAAAGGTAAGTTTTGAAGGAAGACTTGCCCTGTAAGTCTTTCTCTTAAAGATGAAAATAAACTGTCAGGCTCAGAAATAAGGGTTTTATATATATCCTACTATTGAGAGACCTGTAGAAGGAGATTTTTGAGCATATTAAAAAAGTAAAATAAGATTTCACAGTGAACAAAGCTAACACACACATGCACACTTGATCATGATGTTTGCAAGGATAAAAATTAAGCATTGTCAGTGCCAAATTACTGAAGCATTAATAATAATCCCAGTTAAACATTCTCTGTAAATGCAAAATATTGAGTTATAGTGAGAATTTGGATGTACTTGGGGAGAATTCATATCTGTTGTCTACGTCAATCTTCTTCAGTGTAGGTAAAAGTGAGAGGAGGAGGAGGAGGATGTTTTATGTGGTGTGTTTATAAGTTGCCGTTTTCAACTTGAAATATTTGAGATCTTGGCTCCATAATGTGTATTGTCTTTTATGTTTTATTTTTGGAAAATTTTCATAAGGTGTTTTTAGGAGGTTTTGTGCAATGCTAGATGCTAAGTTTTTTTATTTTGGGGGCTTTGGTTTTGGTTAGTGGTTTTTTTTGAGATGGGAAAGTCTGGACTTTTTCTGGGCTGTTTCTACCTCTAAGAAAAATAGTACTGTAGTTCTGTATTTCTAGAGTTAAATATACAGCCATAATATTATATATCAGTTCGAATAATGATTGGTATGCTAGATTGCTTATTGATTGGAGGGAGCGCTGCTTTTTAATGAAAGCAGCAATTTGAACAGTTTGTGGATGCTGCCAGGTTTCCGGAGGGAAGCTTTCAAACCCTTGTAGGTGCATAAAGCCTGCAATGGTGGGCAGGTTGACTAGCATGACTCCAGAGATAATGATCTCTTAGTCATACCTATGTACTTTTCTCTCTTGGTCACTTATTAATGAAAACTTATTGACATGCTCTGTTTATGCCCTGTATGAAACACATCCATGCCCATACATGTTGTGATTAAAGACTACAGGGCCTTGAAGGGTTATGGAGACCTGAGTTAATACTGTCTGGCACAGGGCTGTGGGCAGTGAGAGTATTGTCTGTGTTTATAAATGGATTATAACTTCAAAAGTTTTATGAGATTTAATTTAAAAGTTACTCTAATGAAATTATTCAGTAATAAACTGTTTCACTTTCTGCCTATTCATTAACTTGGTCCTCTTCTGAAAGGAGGCCTTGAGGAGGGGCTTTGCTTTCACAGCCAAGCCTACCTTCATTTTAACTTCAATTTAAATGGGGAATGTCTGCACAACCTGGCTCAGAGGCCGCAGTGTCTCAAGTTCAACTGTTGGAGATTAACCAGCACAAGTTAGACAGCAGCATGTACTCCTCCACCAAAATGAGTGTAACTTCTGCATTTTCAGAAGCCCACATTAATGCAAAACTGTTCCAGGCTTTGAGTTTCCTGGGTTAGCCAGAAACTGTGTATCTACTGCGATGTTTCTCAAGTTCGTTCGTTCTTTTATTTTCTTTTTTTTTTTTTAATAGACCTCCTTAATGCTTAACTGTATTACTTCACTTACACCTATGCAGAGACTCTAAATTTTGCCTGCAAAAGTACAAATTTCCTACTTCTTTTGGAATTCAGTGTCCTTCATACACATACACCTGTACTTTTATGTGCTGCATTTCTCAGTATTTTAATATATTGCTTTTTAAATTTGTTGCTATCTTATCTTCTCAGTTTTGGCAGAAATGTGATTTTTTTTTTTTTTTTTTCCACCTGAAGAATTACTTCAGAATTTCCAGATATTTCCTAGACTGGCTGACATCTTGAATATTTTCCATCCACAAACACATTTTCAAAAACTGTGGACAGTCCATTGCCCAGTAACCTCATATATCCTTGTTAGGAAATAACTTTTCCCTGCCACCCACATATACACAAAACCAAGTGACATGTTTCCCAGCTAACCAAGCAGTGAGAAACCAAATAGGCAAAATAAACATTGCTTTTTCCTGCGGGTGACTTCTTTAGAAGAAAAACCTTTTTCATGACCACAATGTTGTTGTTTTTCCATGAGTTATTTGCAAAAGTAAATAGACTTTTCGTAGTGGGGAGAGCTTTCCATTACTAAGCTGTACAGCGCTCTGACTAACCTCCTGTCATGAAATAAGCCTTCTGTCATAACAGGAGGTATAGTTCTTGGCACTACATGAAAGCATGAGATAATTTGCTTGACGTGCCCCTATGGTTTCACACTGCAGGGGCTCGTTTGAAATGAGAAGTGGAAGTGATATTTTCCAAATCAGCTGGGGGAGCAGGACTGTCAAGACCTTGTTTTGTTGAGGCTTTGCAGTCCTGTCGTGGATGGGGTGGGAATCTAAGCAAGGAGCACTGTACTCGGGTTAGGACAGGGACTTGCGAATGCCATAACCGTCTGAAACTAGCTGGGAATTGAAGCTCCTTGGAAAACAACTGCTTGAGTTAAGAGTTTGGCTGTAGCCTCTGTTTTATGGTTCTTTCCTCTGCAACAAGTGGTGTTGAGCGTTATCTAGGTATGACTGCAGGAGAGCACTCGCATATCAGAGTCAAAAAACAGTCGGGTTACAGAGTGTTAATTACTAAATTTTCTGTACCATCTAGTTTGTCCTTTTATTTGGCTGGAAGAGGGACCCTTATCTGGCTGCAGGTTGTGAGAGCCCAGGAACCGGGGGCCTGGAGCTGGTGTGGCAGTAGCTGCTCTGGCAGCGTGTGCTGGGCTGGATAATGTTTTCCATTCTCCTACGAGTGTCAGCCAGGCTGGAGAGGAACTGAGATTTCCTGTGCTCCAGACTAATAAATGAATGGAGGTGTTTACACAATACAGGACACAGTCCTCTTTCTTGGAGTTTTGCTACACAATTAAATTGCTTTGTCTTTCACTTCTTTGTAAATATGTTAATGAAAGTCCTTTATGTAGGATTTTTTGAAAGGCAACATCTTGTTTGCTCCATTCACTTAGGCAAATTCTGCTTTTATGTGGTACAGACTATTATGCAGTAACAGTGCTGTTGTGTTTCACTATTCCTTGGTAGACTAATGACTATGGGTAGTGTAAGGCCAGGTGACTGAGAGCTGGGGCTTGAAAGACAATGTACCAAAGAATACAAAGTAATCAAAATACTGTCATCTGATTCTTTTGGTGTTTGCCCAGAAGTTGTTTGGGATTACTTCTATTCACTGCATAATGATTTATTACAACAGTGTATATGTAGAAAGGAAGCCTGTATTCTTTGATCTTTCTCTCTTTATTCTTTTTTCTTTTTTTAAAGTTGGCTGAGGAATCGCTAAGTTACAGCGTTGGCAAATGCAAATAAGTGGAATGTAGTTTATTGTTCATAAAGTATAACCTAGTGTGACGTTTATCAGACAAAAAAAATTTCTCCATTGTACCAAATCTTCAAACCCGAATTTAATACCTGATACAAATTTTTAAGCCTTGACTATTTTGCAAGTTTGTGCGGACTGAGTATGAAGTATTATTTATTTGTGTAATCTCTAGTTCAGTAGAATAATTAAATATGTGCATAGCTTGAGCACAAAATAGGCAATTTGTTTGCTTAAGTACTGTAATGTAAAACCATAGTCAGGGAGATGAACCTTACAAGGAGACAGACCTTTAAGGCAGACAATAATTGCTCCAAAAAAGGAGATATGTCTGCACTGTGAACACATGATCTGCATGCAGATGTCTAGGTTAAAAGAGTGAGGAGTTTCTGGATTTTGTTCCTTATCTGGAAACCAGTGTAGTCTAGATTAAAATTCATGGAATAACTGATGCTGTAATGCCTTTTTCTTCAAGGATATGCTAGTGCTTTATGAATTATAAACTCTTTAGTGCTGAAAGAGGAAAAGGTAAACACCAAAGTTGTAGGGCCTGTGTTCAACAAAGTGTACAAGCACATATTTTCACCCATCAGAGTCCAGCAAGAGCTCCTAGTCAAGGGCTACAGGGCAGTTTTTCCATAAGTGATAACTGCCACAAGGGCCACCAGGCTCCTTAGGTGAGGAACAATCCTGCTGAGCTGGGAGGACCTAACGAGGCATGACAGTGCCATGAGGACGCCTGTGTGCTTCCACTGCTCACCTGTGTTTGCCTTGTTTAACACAGGCCAGACCACACTTGCCTGGTTATGAAAGTTATTATCCTGGGAGGAGGTGCTTGGGTAAATCTGGTAACTGCTGCAGTAATCCATAGAACTTGTTTTGGCTTTATCGTTTCAGGTTGAAGGGAAAACAGAAGAAAATGAGACTAACAAAAGACGTCGAAAGGGTCTTTTTGGTGTCTTTGATGAGGTTGGTGTTCAATGGTGTGCATACATATCCAGCTCCTTGATGAGCACCAGAGCTGAGGAAACAGCAGGAGTTGGGAGGCCAGGACTTGGTCACTTGTGCTTGGTGGGAACAAAAAGCCTGTCGCCCTAAAACCTTGAATTTACTGTGGTGTATGCTGAAGGAGAGCTAAATTTATTTAAATCACTTGGTAGGGAGGAGTGCATTACCTAAATCACTCTAGGGCTCTTTCTGACCCAAGAATACTGAAGGTATTGGGTTTTTCTTTTTCTCTTTTCCCAATTCGGTTATTTAAATAAATTTTTCTTTGAAGAGTTTGCATTGCAAGTCGGTTCCTAGCCCCTCTCTGATTAGTTACCTTTGTGACTGCTGTATCATCACTAGTACCAATTGTTCCCTTTTTACTGTACTCTGGGACCAAAGAATTTTTTGTTTTGTTTTGTGAGTTTTGCCTGCAAAACAATGTCATTTTTAATATATTGTAGACTGTATTTCCTTCCACCCTTTGCTGATAAGGATGTTATCTCTCTCTTTCTCTCCCTCCATGAGTATCATAGGTAAACTCGAGAAAGACATAGATTGTTGTTTCCTTGCAGGCCTCAGGCTTTTCAAGCCAAGGGACAAATGCTGGTAAAGAACAGAGTGATGGCAGAGAAGGAATGAACCAGAACAAAGTTAAATCAATGGCAACTCAACTGCTGGCAAAGTTTGAAGAGAATGCTCCAAATACAATTTTTCGGAGGCAGGTAGGTCATAGGTGAACATAAACATAAACATAATCTCTGAAATTAAACTGTAGTCCCTCTTTGTGAATGTGATGCAGATTTCCAAAGGAAAAAGTGGATCTGTTACGTGTTTGAAGTGGGTTGTCTTTTTTTTTTTTTATATACTTTATGCAAATTAAAGGTATTCCTCTCAATACTTAGAGAACAAATATGAATAATATAGATTGACTAATGCATATTAATTTAATGTATTAATATCTATTATATTAATAAAGTGTAGTGGAATTGCAATGTCTAGAAATCTCTTGTAAGCCAGTCTGTAGAATTTTTGCTTTCTGTGGAAGCCTAAACTGGCTGCATATGGTATTGCAGAAGGACTTTTTTCGCTATATTCTGTGAATAAAGGACACTACATAACCAGTGGAATCTTTCTTTTTGGAAAATTTAGAAAGTGTAAGAGGGGAACCTAATCTTTTGCAAGATGTGTCCGGTTGCCATTTCCATTCCTAAAGTAGGCATAACGGAGTATATTTGTACATTCCACAGCATTTTCATGGTTTGCTGTTAGAGTGACTAGTGGTGTTTTAAAAATACCCCTGTGCTGTCAAGGTAGGGATGATCAGCTCAAAATCACACTTTAGCCAGTGAGATGGTTTGAGTCAGCTGAGTTTGGATCTATCACCTAAAAGATCTGAAGGATGAGCAAGGTGTCAAGGTTCTGTCAAGGGTGGTGGTGGCTTTCTTAATTATTTGTGCTTGTATCTACTTTGTTGTTTACATATTTAAGTCCTCTAGAAGTGTAGGCTTTGTAGATGTCAAGTGCCTTTCTCAGTCTGTTAACCACTGTTGTTTGCGCTCTACCTGGCTACTTCTCAGTGCCCTGAGTTTTCTGCATGCAATATGTGCATAGAGGTTTGCTTGGCCACATTGAAGGAAGCCTTTTGATCATAACCTCTCTTAAAGAATACTGAATGTGCTGAATTTTAAGTATATCTTTAAAGGTAGAAGGGGTTAATAAAATGGGTGCAAAAAAAATGGTTTGCTTGTTTTTTTGCAGACAAAAATCTGCAAAATGTGTTGTTAAGCTCCACAGTAACTGTCTTTAAAAGCAGCTTTTATTTCTTTCTGTCTCAAAAGATCTTTGAATTCTATTTACTGTCTTCCTTCTTTTTTTTTTCCACTCTGTCTTTATAATTTTAAAAATGCTTTACAAGGAGCTAATAGATAGACCAGCCCTGCTCTCTTCTGACCCTCCTGTTAATCCTCGCTTTGCTAAACCTAAGGATTCAAGTCTTCTTCCACCTCAACCAAAAAGGCAGGTAGGAACTCAAACAGGTAACACCTGAAAAGCACACGATTTCTCTTACTGCTAGGAACTCAATGTTATTGTGTAACTACAGAATATATAAAACGGTATTTGGATGCAATTTGCAGAGTTAACAGATACATTTAGCTGAGAATTGTGAAAACCATATTAAAACTTAAGGCTATTTTACACCTGCTTGACCCGATGAAAAAACTACTTGAAAGAATTAGTAACTGTGTAGAACAAACGCTAAAAACATAGGTGTGGATTTCTGTGTTATCACATCTAGACTCCACATTGTATAAATATAATTACAAAGCTAAATTTAACATGTGTGAAAACTACAGCAGTGCCTTAAAATTTGTCTGTGCATGTACTTGATGCTTTGGGCTGTTGTAATGATAAGGCAAAGGGAGTTTTCCAACCCAAGAAACCTGGCAAAAATGTCTAAGATAAAAGCTTGAGCACAGAAAACCTGCCATTGATGCCCAGGTTTTTTTATTTCTTTAAATAGATCTTTTGATAAGAATTTCTGCTGAAAGCTCTTTTGCAGCATCATATACATGGGGCAAAATTTCTGAATAGTCTACATTTTTCTCTTAGTACTTCCAATGAAAGCAATCTCATATCAAATAGTATTGACATTCACTTTACGTTAGCGTTTTAAATGGAAGCAAATATTCTCTAGTGGCATTTCAAGAGTAGTCTGCAGTGAAATGAGATCTGCATTGCATGTGGAAATCTGCAGATCAGCTTGATGAAAAATGCAAATTCGTAAACCAGTTGAGAGTGATTGTTTTAAACACAGGGGTGCTATCATGAAACATCAGGAGCATACTGCAAGTTGATTGGCGTTAGGTTTTTTAATTTTAATTCTGAGAAATCTGGAAAGCTTGTGTATTTGTTTGAATTGGACAGACAGGTTGAAGTAGAAAACTGTCATGAAAAGACCAACTTGGAAGGTAATTTTTAAGACTGAATTTGATAAAGCTGGACTGGTTCAAATATTTAATTGACTTCAAAACCTATTTCATATGAAGATTCAAATTCAGAGACCTGTTCTGAAGTCCTCAGAAAATGCTTTAAATCTGAAATACATTATAGCTTGATCTAGAATTATGCCAAGAACTACTGTTGATATTCTTACAATTTGATTGTAAGTTTAGGTTTGGGCAGATGTGATGTTAAAAGAAAACAAACAAACCCAAAACCTTTGCTAAAAACCCTAGAAGGAGAAGTAGTGTCATGTTCTTCTGCACTGATGCTATCTGGGGTTATTCATAAAAACTGACACAAATCTAGAGAAGGATGTCAAGACCTGCATAAGGTATGTAGGGCTGATTTATTTCAGTGCATGGACACAAACATCAGAGATGCAGTAGATAGTATGCAAAAAGTGACGTGAGAACACTTTTATTTCTAGTATGTGCATGACTGTGCTGCGCTTTCGGAAGCATCCTTAAAAGCTGCATATACTGCATGGTAGTGCAGAAAGCAGGTTTTTTTCACTTAAAGTGTTTCCCAGTTTCAGGTGGTAGCTAGGAGTGAACACGAGGTCAGGGAACCCAAACAGTCTTTAAGTGGTTCTGATCATATGGCCAGGAGAGCAAAGACTGTACAAAAAAAAGATACCCAGCCCAGTCTGTCAGAAACCTCTGAAAATCTCGCATCTGCCTGTTCTGCGGCATTTGTACTTTCTGGAGTGCTTGAGCGTCTTCAGCACCTGGAGGAAAAAATGAAACAGGTGACAAGCAATTTCTTTTCCTTTCTGTCTCTTAATTGCGTATGCTAATCTGTATACCGTATTTTCCCTGCATATATGCTTGCTTTTTCTTTTTCTTCTGTTGACCTTAGGCCATATTAAGTCTTTCAACAAACTTGCTGTATTCTGATAATGTATGTGACGTTAACTGAAATTTCTCTCTCTTTCTTTTCTTGGCTTTCCTTCCCTGGCTCTTTTTGCAGAAAAGAGCTCAGACCATAGCGAATAGGGAATTCCATAAAAAGAACATTAAAGAGAAGGCAGCACATCTTGCCTCAATGTTTGGATACATGGAGTTTCCAAAGGTGAATATTAGGTTTTGCACCTGAAGAAGTGCTGAGTTAGATGTATAAGCATTCACAGGGGGAAAAAATTGCAGTGGTTTTGTTTTTAACTTTCCTTTCATCCTGTGTGGATCTAAAAAGTAATGTGGATTCCACTGAAACTGGCAAAAAGCTTTGTTTAAATATTACTGCATAATTTGAGGTAAAACACAATAAAAATAATAAAGCGAGTCAGAGTATTTTAGCACAAGAGAAATGTGTTAGAATAAACAGTGTCTTGTGCTTAAGTATACACTGGTAGCTCACAGTTTCTAATGAATTGGTGAGCAGTGGCTCTTAGTCAGTGCAATGTGGAATTTCTTAGGTTTTGTTATGCTTTCTCCCAGCACTGTCTTACCTTACTGCCCACTGTAAATATTTTTATAAGAAAACTGATTACCATAATATCATTTGCCGTGAAGGTTTATTCTCACTGCTCAGAAACAGAGAAAAGAGCAGAATTGTAGTTATTATTTTTCGATTTTTTTGATGCATGACTGTGAAATTACTCTCTTAACCTGTGCTACTGTCACTGTCTCTTGGATAACTCTCCTGTTTCTGCTCTACACAGAATAAGCTACCTACTAAAGGCTTATCCCATTCTCAGCCCCCAACTCCCTCTTGCCCTCCACCTCATGATTCAGCTGCTGCCTCTTCTCCATCATCTGTCGGTTCAGCTTCCCCTGCTGTTCCTTCTAGACAGGTACTCTATTAACAGATTTTTCCTGTAAAATCCAAACTTGCGCTAAAGCTGCTTGAGAAATGGCTTGGATGGAAGGTGCTGCCAGCAGATCTGTTGTATAGATTGTATTTCACATTTGAATCAAACTTTTTGTTCACTGTTATTAATTCTGCATGTTTGTAAGAGGAAAGCCATCGTTAAAAATAGTTGAGGTATAAAGCTGAAGAACAAAGCAAATAATTAACAAAATTTTTGCTTCAATTCTGAAAATTTTGCATTGCTGCTTATTTTAAATGTTCTGTTGTTGGATAATACCGCAGACATGCATAGCAGAGAAAAAGCTTCACATTGTATAGCTAACTGGATGTTATGAGATTGGTTACTGGTTCTTGGGTGGTGCTTGTGTTTCTTTTTATAAGAATATCCATCTGGACTGCAGGGGAGAATCTGCACCGTAATGGTTATTTTAATTAGAGGACATGTCTTAGAATTGTACGAGCACTTGTTGATACAGACAGATTTTATTGTTTTGTTTCTGTACTTATTTCTGCCTTAAACTTGCTTCTGCACATTAATTGCTAGAATACAGTTCTTTGTAACAGCAAACTTTACAGAGAGGAAATGTGCATATTCTGAATCAAAGTGATGAGAACACTTGAATCTGAGATATTCAGCTCTTATTACTTGTGCTGATGTTACAATGGGCTGTGCTTTTATCTGTGGAAGTTAAGATGATGTTGGCTTCTAACTCCCATTGTTTTAGAAAGATTTTATCTGAAGAAAGTTTGATATTTTTAGCTTTTCAGGGCAGGTAAGGGCCTGGGTTTCCTTTCCTTCACCTACAGACTATGTTTAGCAGCAGTCTGGGAACACTGCAGTATTTAATAGGGTTGATGTGGAAATAAAGGTGGAAACATCACGTTTCTAGAAGTAATGAATGTGGTTGCTGTGACCCAATGCAGGTGCTGCCAGAGATGGCAGCTCTGCTGCCTGAGACATGAAAGAAGTGCTGTTCGGCAAAATGGGGTCCCGTCTCTGAGGCACGTTCCTCGGTTGAGATAGAGCTGTGTTGAAAAGAGTCCCTTCTTCTCAGTCCCCAGGAAAATATAGGCTACACAGCCCTTCAAGGACACTGCAAGCCCAGCAGGTGCCTCACTGTGGTAATCCCCTAATTCCCTTCAGCTTCAAAATAATTCCTTTGCCTGGATTTACCTCTTGCTTTTTATGACCTAGGAGGTATAGCATGTGATAGGTTTTAAGCTAAGTAATGGTTTCCAAAATATCAGGGCCTGTTGCTCATTTGATTTGGAGAGCTATTGTGACACTGCAAAGAGAATAAAAAACCCAAAAAACTATGTGAACAGCCCTTTAGATTATGAGAACTAGGCTCTTGATCATATGGAAACTCTGTGAGCAATAATTTTACTGGGATTTTAAATTTTTTTTCTTAGAGAACATTTGTCCTGGGCAATCATTTTGGGTGTTTTAATTCAACTGCATTTTGTTTAAAGTGCACTTACAGCCTTTTATTAGTTTGCCATTGTATTTAAAGGGTGTAGCAGTAGTTTCTTGTGACTTGATTTCACTCAGGCTGAGTTTACTTTAATTGAAAATGCTCTCTCCAGAGGTAATAGCACAGAATGCAGCATAGCTGAGGCAAGAAAATCTTGTTCTGTCACCAGCACAGTAAATATACGTTCATCTCATTTGGTAAATATTTGGCTGGTTAGGTAGGACTATATGTGTTCTTTGGCAGACCTACATGCGTGAACATCTTGATGACCAGTATGCTGCTCCATAGGGTTGTACAGGCTCAAATCCTCTTTTACACCGTGTTACGTATGTCTAAATATGGTGCATTTGGCACAGCATACTTGAGAATTTTTAAGTAGCAGGTCTGATAACGAACAGGTAAACTTCTACTTTCCTCCCCTTTGTTGCAGATGTGGTAATAGAATGCTGATCCAAATGAACCCCAGGTGATGATGGATTACTGTAGATACTTTAATGGGAAAGGTCATAAGTAGATTTTAAAAAACAAAAACAAACAAACAAAAAAGTTTCTCTTCCAGGGTTGCCAATGAGTACGAGTGACATTGTTGGTGCTGTCCTTGCTACAGGGGTAACTAAGAGGGAGTGGAGGGGTTAGATAGGGTCAGACAGCCATGGTGTCTGCACAAGGCTGTTGTGGGGAAGGGGAGGGTACCTGTCCTCCATACCCACTATCAGCACAGTAAGGGGTGGTGGATGGTCATCATGGAAGTGGAGATTCAGGTCAGGCCTGGGGATGGGGATAGGGGACCCTTGAATAGTGAGGAGCAGGGTGCTGGGGGAGGCCTGCAGTCTGCAGCATGGTCACCTTTTGGAGCAGGTTATGCCAATGTGCGCTTACTTTACACAAGTGCATCCTGCCCTGGGGAGAGGGGATGGACTTAATGGCCCTTTGGACCTATGTCCAGGACTGTTATTTGCGTTGGTGAAGTGCTGGTGAAGTGATAATGGATGTGCAAGACTTCTGTTCTCCATCCTATTCCTGTACTGTGAGGTCACTCAGTCCTGTGATACCCCTGTTACTTTAGCTTTACCTCTCTTTGACAACTTAAGTTCTATTCCTCCTCAAGTTACATAGGCCATGTTTTGGCTTACCTTTTGTTATTTCTCAAGCAAACTTTTCCCAAGAAGCAGATTTATTACTGCTATTTTTATTGTAAGAGTATTAAATCTTCAGGGAACACCTGCTGCAGCCTTGATTTAATAACAAACCATCTGTCCGTGCCTTTCCATGGTTCAACTGTTGTCCCCATGTTTTATCTTTTAGGATTGCACACTTTTCAGAACATGAAAATTTTATCTTACTCTGTAAAACACTGGCTAAATGTGCAGTACTATATAAATAAGATTTGATAATATTTCAGGTCTGCAGTGCACATTTTCAAGTACTGGGTATGATAATGTTTGGACCTCTCTGCTGTGAATATGTACTGGTAATTGCTCGTGTTTGTGTTGTCTTGATGGTGGGGTTACAGGACTCAGAATTTGTATTTCTGGTCTCTGTTCTGAGAGATATCACTAGGTAAGTCTAGACTTCAGTATGAAAAAGGATTTCAGGATTGGTAAGCCGACAGAAAGAGCTCCCTCATGTCGTTCTCAGTGTTTCTACTTTTTCCCAGTAGAAAATCAGAAGATAAAAGACTTCTTTTAAGTTTTGTAAGACTTTGTGGAATACGATCTATAAATATCAGCACCCTCCCATCCTTTAAATAGTTAGTACTGTCATTTTAATTTCAAATGAGTACCTGAGATTGTTATCAGACACGACAATGCTTTACATCTGTTGAATTTTCATTGGAACAGTATTAGTTATGGTGGCATATTTATTGAAAATGGTGGCTAAGAAATCATACTGTCTTATTACAGAAACCTGTTATTAAGCCTCAGTCCTGAAAGGAGCACTTGAAAGGAAGGCTATGGAAGCATATTGTTACTTTTAAAGACACAGTCATTACAACTTATTAAAAATGAGCTTCTATATGACACTATATGCAAGTTGCCAGTAATAATCAAAACTACCTTCTAGCTTTAATCACCTGTCAAAATTCACATAAGTAGAATTATGAATTAAAAGATATTACATTCCAGGCTGGGCTTTGGTTATTCCTGTTTTCTGTTTTAAGTTGGATTGACCTTCAGAAAACTGTGTTCATCTGAGCTTTGCATGAGTGAATCCACACAGCACGTCATAAGAGCTATGAAGATGTTGCAATCAATAGGCTTTGCTGCCTGCAGAGTTTGGACCAACTACTTCCCTTTAGTGACGTGATTCTAATTACCAGCAGTAAGCAGGGCTTGGGTGTTTCCTGCACACAGTAACTTATTACTCAAATGTTGTTTATCTCAGAGGTAAAACGCATGTAGCAGGTGGTACCAGAAGTAAATAAATCACTCTCAAAGCAAAATAAGATCAGGAAGATCATTAAGGATATGTAAACGACGAAGGGGAAGCATTGTATGCTTTTGGAAGTAGAGAGCGTATTTCCTTTGTTTTGTGAAAATACTACTGGGGCTTACTAGTTTGTTGGCTGTGGTGTTATAAACAATAGCACAGGGAAATACAGAAGGTAGCTTTCTCTCCCCACATTAATAACCACCCTGATCAACATGCTGAAAAGCTTTGGCAACATGTCATTTACAGGTCAATAGTCTTAGTAAATTACAAACACTTGGGGGATTTTTAAGTGTTTTCTAGGTTGTTTCCTGAAATTCTCCATGTAAGGTAACTCTTTAAATCCTTTGTTGGAAAGGAATCTTAAGCTACTGGTATAAACCTGCCTGAATTGTGAGCAGTAGCCTGTTACGTACTGGTAGAGGCCCCAGACTACAAAACTGAATGCGTGTGTAGGACTTCACGTACACCAGTAGCCTCAAGGGTAGTAAGTGCATGAGCAAAATATAAAACCTATTGTGTGTATGCTGAGTTTCTAGGGTACATGAGCAGCACCAGGCAGGCAGAGATCTGTGTGCTGTTGACCAAAGCTAAGCTGTATGAGAGCTGACAGGGTAGCTAAACGGAAGTATGTACATTTGTTGTCAGACCCTCCCTCTCACAACTGGAGTTTATTACACTTACACGATTAAATGGGTAAGGATGTTATTGAAGTCCTTGTCTGTAAGCAGGGTGAGGTTTAGAGAAGACGGGGGGTTGCTTGGTGGTTGTTCTGTTGTTCCCCTCCTCGGGAAGCCATAGAGGACAATGAGGTCACCCCTCAGCCTCCTGTTCTCTAAACCTGACAAATCCGAAGTCCTTAGCCGCTTCTCATAGGACATACTTTCCAGCCCTTTCACCAGCTTTGTTGCCCTTCTCTGGACATGTTCAAGGACCTTCACATCCTTCTTAAGTTGTGGGGCCCAGAACTGCGCACAGTACTTAAGGTGAGGCTGCACCAATGCTGAATACAGTGGGATAATCCCCTCTTTTGACCGGCTGGTTATCCTGTGTTTGACGCACCCCAGGATGCGGTTTGCCCTCTCGGCTGCCAGGGCACACTGCTGACCCATACCAGCACCCCCAGATCCCTTTCTGCAGGGATGTTCTCCAGCCACTCCTCCTGCAGTTTCCACTTATGCCTGGCATTACTCCATCCTAGGTGCAGAATTCAGCATTTAGACTTGTTAAATTTCATCCCATTAATCATTGCCCAGTGCTCCAATCTATCTAGAACCCTCTGCAAGGCATCTGAAAGGTATTGAGGCTGTAGCGATCTGATCTCCTCTTGACTACCCACATATCCGATTCAGTAAGGAGAACCAGTAGAGATGTACATGCAGTAATATGTCCTTATTAATCAGTTTCTCTAAAATGAGATCTAATCAGTCCTCAAGTCCACTTGCTTTCTGCCCTCCCTGCTGGTGAGTAGCAGCAATGTTTGTGTTGGTGGTTGTTGATAAGGAGATGAAAGCAATCAGCAATCTTCTGGTTGCTAGGTTAAATTGGAATCCCATTTGCTTTCACATGGAATGTGAATTCTCATTTATTACAAGAACATTTCCTTTTAATAACATTTTTTTAAAGTATACATAAACACGCAGTTTTCTTGGTTTGACTGCTTTAATGTTGACACAGATTGCTCCAATGGGTGGAGAACAGAAGTCAACCAACCTGATGAATTACAAGGTGTAGTTCAGGCTCAAGGATACTTTTCCTGAAATTCAACTACTTGCACTTTAAGCATAGCCTTATTGTTTAACTGATTGCTCCAGCATTTAACTAGTTCAAGGTAAACTTTCTGCTTGAACTCACTTTGCATGCTTTCTTTTACTTAGAAGTTTGTGGATATTAAGTTGTATGTGACCTAAAAGTTGCTCGGCATAGTCAGAGGTACAGAATCTGGGGAGGAAAATTTTGTCTTCTGTGATCTTAAACAATAGAATGGAACATAGTTTTCCTGTAGTAGCAAGTAATCTCACTTCTAGTATTGGTTTATAATTTAATGCACCACTTAGGACAGCATTGCAGTATGTAATTAACAGTTTACTTTGCTGTTGTTACCTCACAAGTTGTGCAAATATTGAATAATACTTAAAAGTTTCTTTATAATAAACAAAAGCAAGCAGTACAGAAATTTGTCCCTTGAATGACCTTTGTCATCTTAACATACATATTTTGTATCTGCCTGAATATTAATTTAATTATGGGATAATTCTCAAAAGATAAGGGGAGCTGTAAGGAGCTGGACATGTTCCCAAGTTCCTGAACTTGAATTTTTTTTATTAGCAAGAATATTTTTATCCATCATAGTTTTTGAAAACACACCCAAAATGCATTATAGTTATTTTAAAATTTGATAGAAAATGCTGTAAAATTATTTTAAAGTATCATGAATACCATTGCTTTTCTATTTTTTTCCTTTCTTTGTGGTAGCTTTCTGATATTTTAAAACCTTTCCATTAGCAAGACTTGGTGTGGTGGCAGTAGAAAAATCATTTCACTGAGAAGTGTGGGACTTAAAATTTGGGCTCTGTGGGAGGCAAATGAAGACATGAGATCATGGATCCTCGAGGAAAAAAAAAAAAAAATGCCATGTCTTCAGAAGCAGAGTATCAGATCCCTGGCCATACCAGGATGGCCCTTGCTGCCTTTGCCAGCAGAGAGGTTGTGGGGTCTTATATTGACTATAAAACTAAAATCAAAGTCACTACAAGAAATTTGGTTTAGGGTAGAAAAGATTACTGTAAACCTATGAAGTCTTCACTGACTTTTTTCCAGGAACAGAGAACTAGACTACCTACCTACCTGCCTGCTGCTCACACACACGCCCACGCACACACACCTTTCTTCTTTTCCAGTCCCCAGGCATGTGTTTTGGCAAGGAAGCCTGGGCCATGCAGTCAGTGGTCTGGCTGTGGTGTGTTTGGAGCCACAGCCTAAGGACCTGCAGTTCCCTGGCAGGCCTGTCTGTTTGATAGATTTGGTTAGAAACAGCCTAATATTGATGACTGTGATAGTGTGATGAAGCAGATTAAAGGAGATGGCTTCCTTTCCTGAGCGTAGTTTCTCCAGTTTTCACTGGCATTAAGATGAGTCACTGGGGAGAGGCAGAATGGTTGCTCTGTGAACACCAACAAAACATTTCCATGCTGGATTTCTAGTACGTTTTCATAGATTGTTTCTTGAAATGCTGCTGTTTGTGGTCCACGAATGTGAAGTTTAGTCCTCACCCCCTGTTCTAAAATATAACAGCAAAGTCCTACAAAGTCAAAGAGAACAATAGGATTTTTTTTTTTTTAATCTATCAGAATGGTCCAACCCTGATAGCCAGGCAGTAGCTCCCAGCTCAGCCTCTTTGTGGACATAGCGGCAGGCCTCGGGCCATGGGAGCAGCGTTTGCTCCCAGCAGCTATTTCTCCTTCGTCCACAGGGAGAAGTGTGCGGGTTGCATGGAAGCCTTCTGTGGCCAACAGCTGGACCATGCTGATCATGCATGAACATGCTTGTGCTCTGCTGGACTTTGCCTCTGCTCTTTCTCCTAGCTTCTCTTTATCATTGTTTGCATGTTTTCAAATCATTTTTGTCCTTTTCTCATTAAATTCATTTTCCGAAGTAACCAAAGCTCTTCCTTCTATTCTTCATCTTCTCCCCTTTTCTGGTTAGATGACTGTAGGGAAGGTCTCACATGCAATTGGAGCTGTGGCTGAAGTTCTTGTCAATCTGTATGTGAATGATCACAGACCCAAGCCACAGCTTTCCCCCCTTGAACTGGTAAGACTAAACCCACAAAGAAACAATAACTTGACTTGAGTGATGTTTCCAGAACGTTATCCCAACTTAAGACCCTGGTTGTGGAGCTTTTTAAGTGTTATGGAAGGTCTTAGTCTAACACTTATTAAGGAATCAGTTGCATATTGGCAAAATACGCCGATGTGTGGACATGCTGGAAATGTTGCTCACCATGTCTTCTATTTATATTTTTATTGCTTGTCTGTATGAATTAAAACTTCAGGAGGCTTTTATTAAATGTAATTACTGGTACAATTAGTAAGAGAAGACATTTATTAATCAGGGTGGCTTCTAAAGAAAGTTCTGTACAGTACATGTTTGTGCAGTTATTTTTAACACTCAAATGCTGCATCACCATGCTTCATTTTGAAGAGAGCTGTTTTTAAACTCTGACACTGTTCTGTGTTGAATTCAGAAGCGGTCTCTGGACAGAGCTACAGGTTCTTGCCCCATTCCTCACTCTCCATCTGCCTCCACTGCTCAGAGCTGTCAGGTATTGGGAAGCGAAGTAAGGTGGTGTGTTGTGATGATGACACTTACTTATTAGCCAGCACTAAACTCAATTGCTTCCGCTTCATTGTAACTGTCTGTTCTATTAACATCATATTTTTTAAAATGCATTTGTGTATTTTTCCCTTTGCATGGTTGTTGATTTGGAAAGTTTCATGCACTGAAATGATCCACCACAGCAAAATGGATTGCTAATGGCAGATTTGGAATAGTATTAACTTTTAAGCACAAGAAAATGTCACAATGACAATTGAAATTAAAAAGTTGTTCCAAGGCTGCCTTTTGCTGGCAAATTAAAGATGAGTTGTGTGGACTGTGTGCTGCTCTCTGAATGTGCCTGGACTCTGCCAAGCCTGCGCCTCCTCTGTCCCATGCGTGGTACCTCTCCTGTGGCAGTGGGGATGGTGGAAGGGGAGGGAGACAGTGTTGGCTGTGGTAGAGACAGGATGCTCATCTGTACCGACCTATAACTAAGCATACTACAATAATGCGAAGTGACATCCTCGTACCTGCGTCTAATAAGAAAAGGGAAGGCCAGTGGCATCTAATCCATTTATAGTTTATTTTTCTGTACCTTTTGCATGTATATCCAGAGAGGATGAGATTTGTGGCAATTAAAGAATGTTAATTGCCAGCCCAAATTCAACAAAAACCTTCAAAATAGTTTCAAGTTGCTAATATGGATCATATTTTGAAGTCCGATAAATTAAAAATATTCTGAATGTCTGTGGCAGGAATTAAATTGTTTGGTTTTTTTTTAAACAAACCAAGCCCCAGCTTGGGCTGTAGCCTCAGGAGGAACACGACTGAGAGGGAAAGCACGTCTGTGGTGATGTAAATGGTAGTTCGGACACCATCATTGAAGACTGTCAGTTTTTCTTCCTGGACTTTAAAGCACGAGTCTACTTTTTCCTCCGGAGTGTGTATGAACTGAGTTTTCAGGGTGTCTGTTTTCTTAGCTCCAAATGCATGACTGTTGTTTGAGGCTGGTGGGGTCTGCCTTTGCCCTCTTCTGAGAAGCACCAGTGCCCACAGCCATGAGATGCGAGTGCCTGAGCCAGCGCGGTGCAGGGGCAGAAATGAGCGATTTGGGCTGGTGCTGCTCTTCTACCTGAGTAAACAGAAAATGTTGGTGAACTCCCAGAGGGAAGCTGGATGCAACCTGAAAACTTACCCCTTAAAGTCCTTGTGATGTCTGATTTATGAATTGCTGCATAAACCTTACAGAATCACAGCAAATGAGTAATAAAAAAGCTGACTGATGTGTGTTTTAATTGTGTGTAGAGGGTGCTGTGTGAAACTTCAAGCAGCTAAAACAGCTGCCCACTTAATAAGAATTTATATCTGGGTGTAGTGCAACAGCCTTACGTGCATTTCTTTTTTTATCTTTTAACAGGGAACTCTGCGAAAAGAATTTCCTCAGTCTATTGGGGGGAGTGACATTTGTTATTTCTGCAAAAAACGGGTATATGTTATGGAGCGGCTGAGTGCAGAAGGCCACTTCTTTCATAGGGAGTGCTTCAAGTGTGAAATATGTTCTACAACACTCCGTTTAGGAATTTATGCCTTTGATGTTGAAGAAGGTAATATAGGAGCTATGTAAGAACATTTTAAAATGTCTGAGTATTGATGCTTTTAATGGAACTAGGGAAAAAGACCTGGCCAAGAAGCTCAGTCAGGAGGAGGTCTGCCAAGTATGTTGTTTGCGTCCATGCTGATCTCCAAGTCCTTGTACTTGCAGTTCTAGTCTAGAAGAATCCACTTAGGACAGACCTGAGCTTTAAATAAAGAAATCCTCAGTGGAAAATAAGTTGTAAGACCAAAATGCAGTTTGTCCTATCACAGGTCAAAGGGGTGGGGGGGTGATTTTTCTCCAACAATACCGAATTATTCTCATCTCTCATTTATAACTGGCCATTAAATAAGGTGATCTATAAGGATAAGCCATGATAGTGGCAGATTTACATGGATGGGGGCCATATAGGTTATTTCTGTGAAGATGTAATGGCTCAGGAGTTGAAAGCAGTAGTACTGGCCAAGCAGCAGTGTAATTTATTCTGGTCTGCTGTAGAACAGGAGGTTCAGATCTTGGGCGCTCAATCCCAACTTTTTTTTTTTTTTTTTAAGTTTAGAGGGAAATTATTAGCCTGAATTGAAATTCCCTTGCTACTTCCAAATGATTTGAGTAGATCGGAGTATTAACCTGATCTCCTTCTATGAAAGGATTAAAGACTCAAAGCCAAAAGTGGTTCTTTTGCAGACCAGAGGATCTTCTGCAAAGACTTTTTTGAACTGATTGTTTGACTCTCTGCTGCTTGATGTCTTGTGTTGGTTTGTGACTTTGTAGAATCTTGGGGTTTGTGCTATTTATTAATCTTGAAACGTGTGATAGTTAAATGATGACCTTGCCTTATTTAACAAATGCGCAAATCTGTGTACTGTAAACAAAACCCATTCAGAGCTGTGAGCTATTCAGAGTAGGTGGTAAGTTTCCTATTCCTCTTGCTGCCCAACCATTAATTATCCTGATTTTGTCTTTTTATAGGTGCAACAGTGGGGTTTCAGTCTGTAGGCGTATAGATAAAATATCATATAACTTATTTTTTCTCTTGTAGGTAAATTTTACTGTAAACCTCATTTTACGCACTGCAAAATCAGTACTAAACACAGAAAGAGAAGAGCAACACTACAGATCCAGGGAAAGGTACGTATTAGTTGTGTTACTACTGCAAAAAATGTTGAGGCAGCTTTATCTGAACCAGGGTCCAGTATTTGTGTGGTTGTGTAAGATGTTTTCTACCTGATGTCCAGAAGTTGTAAAATCAATAGTAAAATATAACCTCCTGGTTCTGTAAACTTGGTGTATTTATAGTCTGGTTCTCAATGGAAACTAGCTTTTCCTAGACAAAGTAAAGTTGTACGTAAGAGCAATCGGAAATTACAATATATATTTAAAAACTTGAAAACAGTAACAGAAATTGGACTTTCCATTTTTAGAAATATATTTAACATTTTTTTTAACGCTTTATATAAGGAGGCAACAGAAGCATGGAAGAAGGAGGAACCCAAACCCACAGAGACCACTGCAGAAAGCACTTTGTCTACTGCTAGCAGTCCAGAGGACAGGTCCCCAGGTATCCTGACTTCCTTCTTTAGGGGCACGCTAAGCTGGCCCCTTCGGGTGACAAGGGATCTGCTTGACATTCCCAGACGCCTGTCTAACTGGATGCATGGTTTTCTGCACGCTACCAATCTTCATTTCAGGGACAATGCATATAACTATACCTACTTGTATGAACTCTTGAGCCTTGGTGTGCCATTCCTCTGTGCTCTTCTAGAGGTACTTACTCATATGTACCGGGAAGCAGAGCTATCACTTGAAAATGTGCTTGACTGGGTGAAAAAATTCTATAGGGTTTAAATTCTTCTATGTGTCTTGCTCAGTTGTGCCTTTCAGATTTTCAAAATTAACAGCCTCGCTATTTTCTTGAGGTTTTTTTACTTTTCATGCCATTTAATGTGTGAGTTAAATGAACGGTGGATTCCTTCTGATATAAATGCGATGCAATCAAAATTTTCAATATAGAATGTACTGTATGTTAAAGCATGAAGGGCAGTGTCCAGACACATTTCCAGAACACGGAGACGGATGAAGGATATTTTGTAGATTCCCCCTCTCCCTATTTTATTCTGTGATCAGACCATTGTGGGGAGTGATACGTTTTAAAACCGTTCTTCTCCCTGCCCGTGCCCCCTGCTTCCTTTTTTTCTTTTTTTTTTTTTTTTTTTGTTAGACCAAGAAAGAATGTGCATTCTTTCAGCTGTTTGGGAAATATTTATGACAAATTGACTGGGTTTTGAAACCTGAATATGGCGCATACCTTTTTTTTATTCTTGCTTTTGTCTTTGCTGTGGGTTATGAGGTTTATAACGTGCATGAATATGTTAAAAAAAAAAAAAAAAACCACACCCAAAAAACACGACAAAGATTTAATTAATTCACATTGCTCCTAGTTACGCCTTTTACATTTCTTACATGTGATAGATACCCTTTGTTGATAGTGGGTATAATCTGTACTACTAATTTATTTGAAGTTTTGAAATAAATTTGAAGAGCAAATCTTAGTTGAGTGAAGGCTTGATTGAACATGTAAGTCAAAGGAACTGGTACTGTAATTAGACCTGATTTATTCCTCAAGTCAAGGCTTCCTCATTAGGTGGCTGGTTCGAGGAATATCAGGTTATGGAGCACTCATCTGTAGCTGAAATCACTGCTGTCGTGCCTCTGGGTAGGCACTGCTCCTATTGTCTTTTGGATCATTTTTTAAATATACGAGTTTAGAACAAACAACCAAAACCTACAAATGTATTCTAAGGAGATTACTTCTTAGTTGGGTATTTCATTCATTTTAATGTATAAAGCTGATGGCAGAAAGGTGAAATTCTATCATCTGGAGCAGCTGTTAAGTAAATTACATAGAATCGTCAGGGTTGGAAGGAACCTCTGGAGATCACCTAGTCCAACCTCCAACTTTCAGATGTCTCTCAACAAGGTCTACATTAATCAGAAGGTGTTGGGGCAGGTTAAATAAGCTATTTAACAGCAAGGGGACACCAACATCCTAAGTTCTGATTTACTTTCAGCCTAGTTAGCCAGTGAGGAAAGCACGCTCCCTGCCTCTTAGATACTTAAATGTTTAAATTCAGAAGTTATTCAGGAAATAGGTAAATACATAAACATGGGAATATGTATAGCCTAAAATTAAAAGCATCTGTAGCATTTATTTCTAGCCAAAAGAATGTGGCTTAAATAGTAGGAAATAATGTCACATTCAGTTAGTACCAAAGTTGAGAATCACCTTCCAGTGGTCTTAAATGACTGTGCTGCTTATGGGCTGGCAGATTCTTGATTTTTTTAACATAATGTGGGAAAAGATGATTTGAATTGTTTTGTTTCTTAGGTATTAAAAGGAAATGTGTCTTCTCTGTAAAATAAATTACAAACTGGATTTTTCTTCTAGATAGCTTGACTTTCTTTAGGCTACAAGGATAAAGCTTTTCACATTTTAGAGTGCTTATGTATTTTGGGAAAAAATTGTTAAGTGTATGCACAGAACTTGAAAAAGTGCTTGAAGAAAATTGTTTAGGTATAAGGTAGCATTCATTTGAAATAAATTGCCATTAATTCTCAAACATGTATTCAGCAAAACTTTGCTAGAATATTGACTGGACAAAGCGACAGTTATAGTAACATGGTGGGCATCTGTATATATGTAAAGAAATGTATTTGTACCTCTTTTATAGCATTTTAAAAAACCTACTTTGGAACACTGTATACTTTTAATTATTTGCTAATGATAGTAATTGTTTCACCCTAAAAAGGAAAACATTTGCAGTGTGATTTACCATGTTACTCCTGCAACACAGCAAACTGTTAAGTGGTAAGGCTTTAAAATTTGGGTTGCCATCAGTTTTGATTTCAGTTTGTCAACAGCACAGTCTTCTGGAATATTTTCTCCTGCTCTTTACTATAGGAAACTTTCTGCTTTTCAGCAGAGTAAGCATAACTTAGAAAATGATGATATAGTAAGAAACTTGGAAATCCCTGATACCCAATGAATTTAAAGCACATGAATCTTAAGAGTAGGAATTTTAAAACCAAAATAAAATAAAAAATAAAAAGATGGTATTGGCTTTATACATATTTATATAATGGGAATAAAATCCCTACATTTCCACAACAGAATTCAGGAACTTGCATAATGAAAACATTTTCCTGAGGAAACTTAATTACACTGCACATTCCACTGGGAGTTTGCAAGTGATTCTCTTGGGAAGGTTTTTTTATTGGTATCAATTTAATTGGTAGATCTTTTAACCTCTTCAACTTAATATTCTACTAGTAAGATTCATACCTGTTCGTCCTCATTCATTGTTTAATGACAAGAGGCAGTTTCGTTTTGGCCAGTGTGCTTACGTAATCTTTCTGAGGCTTTCCTGTATCACCAAGTTAAGTTCTGTGTTTTCTTTCCTGCTGTCTTCTCTGTCAATCTCCCTCGTCGCTTTTAGTCCAATTCATCATTCCAGTGCTGCACCCGCTCACTGGCTGAAGCCTTTCTGCTCTCAGGTGACTTTTTCCGCTTGCCAGTTCCAAAACTGTGTGACTAACACTGTTGTTTGACAGCATTTCATTGCGTATTTTTTAAAGACTTTTGGAGCAAACTGTGTGTGTCTGGTATATTAATGGATGCGAGCTTTGGCATGATCACTTAACCTGAGTTCACGGTTCTAGAAGAGGCAATGCCTGTGCTCTCTAGAGAATGTTTTTGTCTCTGTGTCTGTGCATGTACACTTCCTTGTGCCTTTAAGGTAAGTTAGGCAAGCACATTGTTTCTTGAAAGAACTAGTTGAAGCCGTATTTCTTTCCAAGCATCGAAGGAAAGATTTAAAGTAAGGTCAGGACGAGATGAGCCACCTGATTCTCCTGGTTAGGATGAACACCTGTTTCCATTGAGCTCAAATACGCAACGAGCAACCAATATTTGAGCTCTGTGGTGCTTTCTAAGCACGTCTTTGCTTTCATACTGGTAAAGTACGATATAAAAGGATTCTGTTGGAAAAAGTAGGCAAAGCGATGCAAATTCCAGTCTTCCACCCCAAGTGACATAGTAGGCATGCCTAACAGCAGTAGATGTGCATGCTGGTTTTACTCTGTAACATCAAAATGCCAAGTTTATATAACCAGAGTGTTTTGGTTTGAGTTGTTTTGTTGACTAATTAACTGGGCCCCATTTGATACTCTGAATGGATTTGTCTTGCTGCATGGGACATTGTCACTATTCTCCATGACAAATTTCTGTGATTATTTTGTATGTACTTTTTAATATAAATTCCAGTATGTGTAATCACATGGTGATAATCTGGAAGGGGAAATGAATCCAAACAAGAACGGAGGGCTCGGTGTGACGAGCCGGCATGCTAAGGTTTTGGCTGATATGGTCAGGACCCGGCCTCCCCTGCGAGGATCCCGTTGAAAGGGAAGGGCCCTCGGGAACTCACCTAAGCAGCAATTTTCAGGAGGGACCAAACATCCTCTGCCACTTGCCCCATTTCACACGCCTCAGCCAGGAATGCAGAAGGGCTGCAGGGTCAAAACCCCACACCTTATCTTGCTGACCTGTATGTTCACGTGATTAAAACAATAGTATTTACCTGTGTGGGTATCCTAAAATGTCTGGATGGCTTTGAAAGTGCCCACACAGAAACCTCTCTGTGTTTTAAGCGTCACTTCCTGCACAAATAGTTAGGACATGAGTTCCTATGTATTTCAGGGCTATGGTGTTTTGTTACAAAGCTTGGCGTGCTTTGACATGAAGGTTGTGACGTAAAGGTCTGCCATTTCAAACCACTTCCCATTGCTGTGTTTTTTACCCTCTGTTGCAGAGTCTTCCTAGCTCTTCCTGGCCAGTGAGGATTCTGTCCTTCTCCTCCTTCTGTCTTCATTTTACTTTATAATCTTAACTGAATATTTTTATTAAATAGTTTTTAACGCTGTATTTAAATTTTTCACATGGAAATTCTGTATTTTGCACACAGTGAAAATTGTTTTAGCTTTATTTATGATATCTGCTGTAAACAAAAATAAATGTAGTTCTTTATAAGCCTCCTTGTTTCATCTTTTCCTTTTAAATATATTTCCTGAGGACAGAGACTTAATAGTGACTTCACGCTCGTTTCACAAATTCCTCTTCTGGTGGATGCTGTCTTTGTTGTGGCCTGACCCAAAGGCCAGAGAGTTTCACTGCGGTGATATAATCACACATGTGTCCCTTTTGAAAGGGATGTACATTGGGGACCTTGACAAGTTATCCCAACCACTGCGGATCAGGGGGTGCCTGGTGTTGGGATTTGTCCTTTCTGGGAATGATAAACTGGTGTTGCTGGTGTTGGTGAGCATGGGGATTGCTTGTATTGCATACACAAATGGCAGCTGTCCTTTTCTCTGACTTCTGTTCCATTTCCTTATGGTTTGGGGTTGGGTTTTTTGGTGGGTTTTTTTTTTACATATTAACAAATGTCATAAAGGTAATTCTAATTTACATGTGTTTGGGATCTTATGTTGTGTACAAGAAAAGCAGGTAATAACTGTGGGTAAAGCTTTACCTTTGCTCCTGGCTCTGGAGTGCTATTTGCAAGATCCCTGTATTTTCTGGACCCCTGGAAGCTTCAGCTAATGGTGACCTGTTATCTGTTAACAGTGGCCTTGTTTTATTTATTTATTTGTTTTACCTGCCTTTGCTCTGTTGTGGCTTTTTTTTTTTAATTTTCATTTTTGTTTTTAAAGCTGGTGGTGTGGTTCTTTTTAAATAGCAGGTTCTCCTAAAAAGCTTTCCTATGTTGTCTTCATCTTCTTTCTTTTGCTTGCTCTGTGATTGTTAAGCTATAATCCCTTCCTTTGTATTTCAAGAAAAAAAAACAAATCCCAGAAAGAATAGTCCCAATAATTTAATGGAAAGATTGTGTGATATGTTTTTTCTTTAAAGTTAATTCAAACTGAGCCTCACTGGAGTTGAATGACAGAAATGCATTTTTTGAAAGTGTTGCTAAAGACAACATCGCCTAAAGAACAACAAATGTTATTCCCTTGAACTATTCCATTTTCCCTGCCAAAGAAAAAGCCACCATGCACAGTAGAAAGTTTGCTGTCTGAGGGGGAGACGATTTGCATAACGAAAACATAGGGCAACAAATGCCATTTAAGACAATACTTGGCAGTTCCTTAATTGCAGTGGACAAAGCAATTTGGGTAAAACTAAATTTACTCTTTGCACAATTTACAGTTTTGGAGCAGGCTCATTTCTGCCATCTTTACTTGATCATTTTAGGCAGAGGCAGTGGCAGGGAAACATCAGAAGAGGTTTTTGTGTCTGCAGAAGCTGATGATTTGTTTGGCACTGAAGCTTTGAGAGGCATCAGATGTTCATGCTGTTCTCATAAAGTTTCACTTATTCCTGCTAAAATATCAGTACAATAGCTTGGAATTGGGGTAATGTTAGAGTTGAGATTGTAGTAATTGTGTTGCTCGTGGGGATGCAGAAGGCCCAAAAAGTCAAATGACCAGCAAATCCGATCACTAGAGGGATGGGTATACATAGCAGTAAACAGTTCATGTCCTGGAACACTAGTGGACAAGATGGGACACTGTGTACGGAAAAGAAAGAAACTAGACAAAATGAGCAACGTGAGGGGAGCAATTCTGCTAGTTCCCTCACTCTTGGTCAAAATCATTACACGATAAAACTAAATATTCCTTGGTTTGCTCCTAGTAGTGCCGCTAGAGGAAGAGACTAGTGGGTTAAGTTCCAAGTGAATTTAACAAGCCTAATTTGGGCTCCCGTCTTCCTCTGGCCACATGAGCAGACCTCCCTGGGAGCAGGAGGCCTGAATCATCCCGCTGCTCTTGTGTTGAGCTCGCTCCAAAAGCTCCAGCGCTCCCAGTCTCCAGCGAGCACACGCTGTTATAAATGTACCCCAAAGCAGTCGTGCTTTGTCCCTTCGCGTAGCTGGAGTTGGCAGCCGTGCTTGTCTGAAAGGCAAACAGGCTGCTGCTCCGCTCTCGAGCTGCTGCTGAACTGGGTGCCTTCCAAAAACCATGGTTTCGGAGCAGGTGACACTAATGCCACTTTACATAGTTAATGCTTTCTAAGACTTGAAAACTATTTGATGTTATAGATGCCATTATAGCACTAGAAGTGCAGAGGTGACGTTTGCTGTGTCTGGCAGGCTCCGAAGTTGCTCTGTCTTTCCTCCTCTTTGTACTGGTTCAAATGGATTCTGAACTTGTCTGTTGCCACTAGGGCCATTTGGGTTGGGAATACAGCTGCAGATGTGCTTTTTTTGAAAAGCCAGGCTAATCTTTCATTCTCAAAGCAAGGCAGCATTGCCTGCCTCGATGTCTGTTAACGAAAATCAGACATGTCAGGATTCTGTAAAGGCAACCTCCCTTTATTATAATTATGCTAATGCTTTACAGTGAAAAAGATCTTGCCGTTTTTAAACATACGTGATTTTAAAAAAAGAGTAAAGACAAAACTTCTTAAAATTGCTGAAATTCAAACAGCAGCCTTCCATTAACTCTGCCAAGAAGAGTAATTTCTGTTCCTCTTGGTTTCTTCTGGATTGCTAGAGGTATAAAATGCCAGTGAAAGTTGCCTCTGTACGTATTCCAACCTCAAGCAAGGGCTATGGTCTGTTTTCCCACAACATTATGGCAATTAGTTACTATAATTGGCTTTAATGCACTTCTGGCTCACTCATTCCTCACGTTCCAATCAAAACAATGAATTCTGAAATGCACTGAATTCTGCATTAATATTTATGTTTTCGAAAGCATGACATGTTTGCAGATAACTTGATTTTTTTGCATGAAAGATCATGTTGCCTAAGATTAGAAGACATTGTGTATTAATACTTGATCCAAGTATACATATTAGTCATGTAAATATTTCCTCACATCTCTTTCCTTTTCTTCATGAACTGTGTTAACATAAAAAGAAGGGAGGCTTTGATCTCATCTCATCAGGTGGTGGGCTCCAAACTCGTGTAAAATGGGTGGAATTTCTGATATGTTTTTTTGATATGTGAAATCACAAAGAAATTTGCATGTTGTTACAGTCTTGAATTTGTTCTTTTGGCATTTATTCTGCAGGTATTCATTCACGTCTTTGTTTTAAAGTTTTTGGTGCTTTGAGTCTGTGCGCAAAAAATACTATTTTGACAGACACTGATCACTCCAGAGCCTGTTGTTGCTGCACTCCAAATTCACAATTACTATACGCATTAATATACCAGACTAACACAGATTGCTCTGATAAAATATGTATTTACTCTAAAATTATAGAAATAGTGTGTTACCATAGCAGTTTTTGTTTGAGAAGCAATTTTTCATAAAGATATCCATTCAGTTTATCTAGTAGGTTTTCACCAAGTTGCTTTTTCCTTCGTCTCTATTAATTTTTGCTTAGTTTGTATTAGAGCATTAACGTGCACTAACCTGGATGCATTCAAAAGTCATGTGCTTTGGGCTCTGTCTTGGTTTGACTTCAAATTC